CAATTTATTCGTGAAGCTGTTAATCTCGCCGGTGCTTTTAAAGAATTTGAGAATGCCGTTTTCGTGAGTTATTTTTGTGATTATATGAAGGAAAAGTTTTTAAAATATTATGCGCATATTCCCCATATTTATGGTATTGAATTTATTCTCGATCCTCATTTTAGACTAGCTAATTTGGAAGATTGTTTCAACTTCTATTATCTTGCTTTTTTTGGTGAATTTCCAATGTATGACGATAACCCCATAGATCCGAAAACGGAATACAACGAGGTTAGTGCTTTATTTTATGCCTTATTTAATGAGTTTCGTGCACAATATAGCAACGCACCCCCTCCCCCGTCACGAACATCTTCATCTAAAGGAAAATCGATTTTTAAATCTGCATTTGGCAATCTTATGAAAAAAAACTAAAACAACTCACGTCACAGAACAAAGCGCATTGAATGAGATTACTTTATATTTAACATATGAAGTTGATTTTGAAGAAAATGATGACTTTGACGTTCTAAACTGGTGGAAGTCAAAAGAAAGAACGTTCCCGATTTTAGCACGGATGGCTAAGCAAGTACTATCAATGCCGGTTTCAACAGTTGCTGTGGAACAAGAATTTAGTTCGGCCGGCAACGTCCTAACGGCATCTAGATCGAGATTGAGTGCGGGGTCTCTTGAGACGCTTATATGCTACCACGATTGGTTGAAGGCCGCACGTAGAACTCAAGAAATGAGCATCACCCCCTCCCAAGATTTTATGGATGACTCAACAACCGATGGTGGCTCTACCTATGCCGGAGATTCCGATTGATTAGTGTTTTAGAATTTATTATAAAATGTAATTTGTAGCACTTGTCAAATGAATTTGTACTTGTACTTCATATTTCAAAATTGTAAACTTGTACTTCATATTTCAAAATTGTAAATTTGTAGTTGTACTTCAAATTAATTTGTAAACTTGTACTTCATATTTCAAATAAATATGCGTTCATTTTTTCATATGTAGCACTTCTCAAATTAATTAATTGGTTACAAACTTACGACTTAAAATTATTTTTCTAAAATCTAAAGGCGATTTTTAAATTAAAAATACATTTACAATATGTAATTTGTTTAAATACTTATACACCTAATTTGTAACATTTGTAAATTATAAATCAAACCACTTTTCTAAGTACAAATAGCTTTACTTAATTCATTAAATTAATTAACTTATTTTGCAATATGTATAACTTAAAAAAAAAAGATTTAATTTTTTTAAGTGGAAGGACCCGAAGATAAGTGGAAGGACCCGAAGACCGGACTGTGGTGGGCAACTTGCAAGTGGTGCAAGAAAGAGTGTAGCTTGAGGCGTTCACACGGATACAGGATGCCAATTAGTCATGGACCCGGGCCGGGCCGGTTCCGGTTCCGGGCCAGGCCCGGCCGGGCTTTTTTTTTGGGAAGGAAGGCCCGGGACCGGCCCGGGTAACCACCGGGTCCGGTCCGGGTCCGGGCCGGGCCGGGCCGGGCCTCCGGTTCGGTTATAATTTTTTTTTTTTTTTTTTTTGCTTTCCTAACCCCCCCACTCACCCCCCAACCCCCCCAAACCCCCAAACCCCTCCTAACCATCAAGCCCAACCCAACTAACCCCAAAAAATGAAAAAAAAAAATTAAAAAAAATCAATTCGGCCCGGGCCCGGGCCCGACCCGGCCGGGCCGGTTCGCCAAATACTAGGCCCGAGCCCGGACCCGCCCCCCCCCACCGGGCCTAGGCCCGACCCGGACCCGGACCCGAGAACCGGGCCGGTTCCGGGCCCGCACAGTGGCGGGCCGGGCCGGTCCCGGGCCGGGCGGCCCGAACCGGGTCCATGCCTAATGCCAATAAAACATATGAAGTCCTGTGACAAAGGGAAAACAACAACCAACGGTGGCGGAAATCCCAATTGATATTTATTAGAAAATGTATTTCGTATTGTTATTTTTTTCTCAATTCTCAAATGTAGTTCCTATTTCAAATAAATGCACTTGAACTTTGTTTTTAATAGGAATTTGTATAATCTATAATTATTTTAAAAAAAATTTAACCGGCCCGGCGGGTGGCCCGACCTGTGACCCGGCCGGCCATAGCCCGGACCGGTCCCGGGCCAACGTCTACCAGACCTGAGGCCCGACCGAGCCTTGGCCCGGCCCGGGTCCATCACTACTCACGATGTAAGGAAACCTTATTCTATCTCTCAAGGTGTAAATTCTTCTTATTTCTCATAATCAGATATTGGGTATATATATATTCCCATTCAAGGAATGGACTAATCCTACTTTAATTGAAATACCAGTAGCCAAATGGAAATCTATTCTAATACTTATAGTTTAGTGGATAATAATAAATAATAAATAGCAGCAAACTAGTTATTAAAATAAATAGGCAGAACTAAGCCACGTAATCCCGCAACTTCACATTACTCCTTCGCAGCCTCATACTTTGGCGTTGACCAGCCTCGACCTCGACATCATCATTGCCTCCTTCCCGAAGACGAACCTTGTCCTCAAGGTTGAAGTTTGGAAATTGTTGTTGTAGTGCCTCAATAGGTTCCCATGTCGCCTCTTCTGGACTAAAAGATGCCCATTGTACTAAAGCCTCCTTTGCTTCTCCTGTCAGTGTTCGTACACGCCGAAAACGGATCACCTTTTCAGGTTCAAAAACAGGTTGACCGTCTGCAGTATATGGGGGTAACTGAGGAGTGGTAGCAACCTGTGAACCAATACATTTTTTAAGAAGTGAGACATAAAAGACGGGATGAATACGGGACTTTGGTGGTAACTCCAGCCGGTAGGCCACCTCTCCAAGTTTCTCCGATATAGTAAAAGGCCCATAGAACCTGCAAGTGAGCTTCTAGTTCACTATTAGTCGTCTGAATCAGGTTCTTCCGCAAAAGTTGGATGATTTCTTCTCTAGAAGTGAGTTGACCATCAACCTTGGCTACTGGGGACTCACCATTGGTATATGATCTCAATATTGGTGAAGCTCTCCCATATAATACCTCAAACGGTGTCATATTGAGAGAACGATGATATGTGGTGTTATACCAAAGTTCAACCCATGGCAAATGAAAGATCCATCTTGCTGGAAAACCATGAACAAAACACCTCAAATATTGCCCAAGCACCGATTAACAACCTCCGTTTTCCCATCGGATTCGGGATGATATACCGAACTCGTTTTTAATTTCGTCCCTTGTAGACGAAACAACTCCATCCAAAAGATGCTCATAAAAATTCGGTCCCAATCACTAAAGATGGATTCTGGGAATCCATGTAGGCGAACTACCTCCTGTACAAAAACTAGTGCAATTTCCTTTGCTATAAAAGGGTGCCCAAGGCCTACAAAATGGGCATATTTTGTAAGACGGACTACAACGACCAAGATGGTATCCTTTCCCCCTGCCTTTTGCAATCCTTCGATGAAGTCTATATTGATATTGGCCCAAACTGCACTAGGTACTGGTGATAATAAATATGCTGGACTTAGGCAGTCACTTTTAGCTCGTTGACAAATGTCACATTCACTCACATATTTTTTTTACTGTCGCGCGCATTCTAGCCCAACTAAAGACTTTATTTAGTCGTTGGTAGGTCCGCAACCTCCCGGAGTGGACGCCTTCCTTGGATCCATGAAATTCGTCAAGGAGTTGGCGTCATAGACCTTCATCGTTGGGGACCATCGCCTTTCCTTTGTACATCACACACCCTCCTCGCACGTGATAATCGTTGACTGCTGCTAATTTTTGTTGAATCTGAGTACTGATTTCTTGTAAATGGGGGTCCTCCTTTGTTTTGCTACGTATGTCATCCCAAATGGCCCATAAGGGTCCAGATATGGCATTGATTTAATCCATGGCCTCTCGATCAGGTGTCTCCCGACGGGAAAGAGCATCAACAACGCTATTTGCTTTCCCTGGATTGTAGATAATGACATAGTCAAACCCCAATAATTTGGATATCCACTTTTGCTGTTCGGGAGTTGTAATTCGTTGTTCCAAAAGATGTCGTAAGCTTTTTTGGTCTGTAGCTATAGTGAAGCGACGTCCCAGCAGGTAAGGTCTCCGGGTGCGAACTGCCTCAACGATGCAAACATTTCCTTAACATAAGTTGACCATTCTTGTTTTGTAGGACCCAAAGCTTTACTCATGAACACCACCGGGTACCCTTTTTGAGACAGAACTGTTCCGATTCCATAACTTGATGCGTCTGTTTCAATAAGGAAATCAGTGGTGAAATCTGGGAGTGCAAGTAAGGGAGTGCTTGAAACGGCCTTTTTGAGCAAGTTGAACGCCTGACTGGCTTCACTGGTCCAACGAAATTTCCCCTTTTTCAGTAGATGTGTCAAGGGTTGTGCTATCAATCCATACCCCTGGACGAATTTTCTGTAATAGCTGGTCAGCCCCAAAAATCCCCTCAAAGCAGTGATGTTCTTCGGCACAGGGCATTGCAACATAGCCTCTATTTTCCTAGGATCCACCCGCACTCCGTCCTTGGAGATGAAGTGCCCAAGATATTCCACCTCCGTTTGTTTATTGGCGGTTTGTAGCCAATCCGCTGGAAATACCAGCGTTTTCCTTCATTAAAACAATGGCGGTTTGGCCAAAACGCTGGTATCCAAACACCATCACTATGTAGTACTTGTATCAGTTGTATGTTTTTTTTCATTCTTGGGTAATCTTTTATGTTGCTGAATTGCTAATGTCAATATATTTGAAGTGGAGTACTTATTTCAAAAATCTCATACCAACCTCAAGTGGAATAGATATTAAATATTATTGGCAAAGACACAAACTTCACACAGATTTGTAATGGTCGACTTATTCCAAGAGCTGACACAAACTACACAGATTTCTAATGGTCGACTTATTCCAAGAGCTGCAAATCTGGAGCATATTATTGTGCCCGTGAAAAATGATCAAAATGTTTTCTGTGAATTATCAAATCTTCCTCTTAGGACTTTGATCATTCCAGATAAATTTACATTGCCTTGAAGTTATAATGAATCGAGTGTGGGAAAATACGACTTAAGCAAGAGTTTACATATCCATTCTTAAGTAGAGGTACTCATTTACAATTCAACGAACTCGAAATTAATAACTATGGAGAGATGAACTTTAAAATAACTACATTTTGTATGCTAGTATATTCAATTGGCATTTTTTTAACATAAGACATTTCTACTTCTATATCGGCACGCAGAAAGCACAAAAGTGTCTCCATATGTTCGCACAAATTGTGGCCCCAATACCAATTTGGTTGAAAAAGGACAACCTTCTCAAGTGCAGGAAAGCGATGAAGAAGCCATTTGATGAAAACCATTTCATGTCTTGACCCTTTTAAACGGCTGCAAACAATACTTAATTCTCGAATTGAATTGAATGTTTGAGCCAAAGTATGGTTAGGGAGCTCCAATAGTTCATTTTCACTTTCAACTGCCCGGAACTATGAAAAATGCACCGAAAAAGAAAATAAAAAACTTTCACTTTAACTTTCAAATTAAAGATCAAGAGTACATTGAAAAATGCAAAATAAAAACTTGAGAGATAGTTATCCACTAAAGAGAATATTATTACCATTAAATGTATGTCAAGTTTGGTTAACTTTGGGCACATCTGCAGCAACTGAAAGCAAGCTGATATGTTATCGAAATATGAGCCATACATCAAGCGTAGCTGCAAGTGTTCCACATTTGGTGTAGTTCGTTCTTGACCCACCCTATATAATTCTTCAACAAACCACTTGAAATGAAAATAACGTGAAAGTTGAAACGTCATTTTCAAAACATGAACAAATAGTAATCTACAAGTAACAATCAAATAAAATCATGTGTTACATACCTCAAGGTCAGTACCTTCAAGATGAAGAGAGTGTATAGTTCTCAAGTCTAACTTTACTGGAAGAATGAGAGAATGGTTTCTTCCAGCAATGGTAGAATCATGATCAACACTAAATTTCAAACTTCTTAGCTTTGGGGCAGTAAAGATACAACCAGAAACGCTTTCACACGTTAGATTCCTGAGCACAGGAAGTTCAGCAGCACAACATTTTCTATCATCAAACCTGACGTTTTTTAAGAAGAGTGAAGTCACATTCGGGAATATGCAAGGGGTGCTAATTTGTTCAAACAAGACTCCTGAAAGATGCAACGTCTTTAGTGTTGGGCAAGAAAATATGAACTCTGGCAATATGTATGCAGTATATCCGCTGAAACACAGGTGTATTTCCTCTATACCATTTTGGGTGAGACAAAGTAACCATTCATCAAAGTCGAACCACCTCAACTTCTTCTTAACAGTTCTGAAGTTAAAATCAAACACAAATTTTTGAATAGGTCCGTTGTGCTTGATGATAATTGTGTCGATTATGGACATTGTTGATTCTGCCATGTAACGGTCCCGAATGTAATTGAAGAACTCGCTATCAAAGTTGAGGTGTGTAAGGCCTAACCAAGCATCTCTTAAGCTCGTACACAAAATGGCAGGTTTAGCGGCTTCTTCGATCCGCAGTAATCCCAAAATATGGGCAAGTATGTCCAGAGGAAGTCCACTAATTCTGTCATTCACCTCCATATATGGCAGATAAGTCTAACATACAAAGCTGAAATCCGAAAAAGAAAAAAGATGTTAAAACATCCTAAGAAACCCCTGAATGAATATGCAATTAAAATATTCACAATTAAAATATTCACAATTGAAACCCCTTAATTAGGGGCAAAGGAGATTCTCAAATTCCAAACAGAACCGGAATAATCATATTCTCACACGAACCTATTTCAAGTTCACAATTGTCAATTTGGTATATAGATACTCCCTCTTCTTTATTAGTACAATAGATCCTAAATCTTCTTCTCACCTTCACTTAATACATTAATTAAGAAATAAGAAATGTATGCTTCTAATTGGTAGAAAAAGATAATAATATCAAATTATCAACCACACAATTCATTCCTTAAATGGCTGTGACTTATGACTTAAATATGTGTTGGTGGTGTTGCGTGAATCTACTAAGGACTAGTTTAGTTTTTTCCATTTGATTTGTTATTTGTTTCATTAAAAAAATTACCTTAATGTTTCACAATTCAAGAGATTTGGCCAATTTAATAGTTCCAATCATAGTTTCAGCTATTTTAGTAGAATCAGCCGATTCCAACATTTCTTATTAATGAGCTATTACTTTTTTTCACTTTGACTGATTTCAGTTTAGACTGACACAGACCAAATTAGATTTGCAGAATAGTACAATATACATATTTGGAGATTTTTACCATATCTGAATAAACCAAAATTTGGTAATAGTAAAAATACGCAGATACCGAAACTTTATCAGACCAAACTTAAATGGACCGGACCCTACTTAAACATACACCAAAACAGAAATCGCAATGGAAGTAAAAACATTCTACCTTGTAGGCCTAAAGAAAAAAGTTGATAAAGAAAAAGTAAAAAAGCCATCATGACCGAAAAAGAGAAGAAACAAAAAAATCAAAACCAGTCAAATTATATGTGGTTTATTTGGGATATTAACTTCAGTGATCACTTTACTTTTAAGTAAATTTTAATTTTGTCACACTACTTTAATTTGTTTCATTTTGATCATTTAATTATAACATTAGTTTGAAATTAATCATGCATGTTAAGTTGCCAGAATTGTGATGCTTTTAAACATGTACTACCTCCGTCCCTTTTATATTGGGACGGAAGAGGGTGACACGATTTTGAAGAAAAGTGAGTTTATGTGGTTGATATTAATTGATACAGTAAGAATAAAGTAAGAATGATTTTGAGCCACACAAATTTTACCAAATATGGTACTCCCTCCCTCACTTTTTATTTAGGGAAACACTGTTTTTCAAGTCAAAGTTGTTCAACGTTGACCGATTATATATTTATACACGGTAATATTGATAATGTGAAAATTATATGAAAATGTTCTTTGTTATAAATACTATCATAAAAGTATAAATTTATAAAGTTTCACATAAATATATTAGTTAAATATTGGATCAAAGTTTATCACCTTTGACTTGAAAAGTCAAAGTTGGCTAAATAAAAAGGGATGGAGGTAGTATGTTTTATCTTTCAAAGTGAGCACTAATAGCCACCCCATTTAATTATCCACCCAACTATAGTTTTCATTTCCACTAAAAAATCATTTAATTCTTGATACAAAATGACAACATTCAAATACCTTTATTCAATCCTCAAGCTCGTTGGTCACTGCAAACTAGAGGCATGTGAGTCCGCTCTAATACTTAATCTAATAAGTTCTAGAATCTAGATGTTATCCATTTTAGCCTAAATAAGACATTTGATGCCCAAGTAGTTTTCTTCTACACCTGGTGCCCAATTCAAGTGTAGTTTTACAGTTCTTAAAAGCCTGCATAATAATGTTAGAGTTCAAGCGTTGAAGGTTTTCATCTCATTTGATTATTTCCTTAAACAAATTTCCTCATCATCATCTTTAGACCACTTAGTATCCAAGTAACCAAAAAAATATGAAGCTAAATCATCAAAAAAAATATGAAGTGCTATATGCTTCACATATGATGCCAACAAATACAAAAATTACAGAAAAAAAGAGTATCCATAACTGAACATACCGGAATGATGGATGCAATGTAACATATTCAGAATTGGGCACCGCAAAAAATTGCCGCACTTTTGTTTCTTGAACTTATAGACAGAAGCCCTATGAAGCACGGAAACTCATGAAGCTCACGTTTCCCCATTTCTGAAACTCGCAAGCGTTTCGGAACATCGAAAACTCAAATTCCCATTTCGGGGCCGTTTCCGTATTAAGAAGAAATGGGAAACCCGTTTGCTAAGATAGATATTTTACTGTTAACCAAGAGAGACATTTTCTAGTTTTGTTCTCTGTTTCCTATTCTCCAATTTTATGTTTTCATTTTCCAGATTTTCTATCTCCAATTTTTTGTTTTCATTTTCTTGTTTTCCATTTTCAAATCTGAAAAACATGTTTATTAAAATTTTTCAACTGATTCTGTGACCGACTGGAAGACCAAAGTATTATCTTGGTCGGCTGGTCCAGAATTGAACCTAGTACAACCTAAGTAGGGTGCTCTGTCCGATTGTATAGGAAAGTCGGGACCGAAACCGGTCGGTCCATGTCGGACCCAATGGCTAGTTTGACTAATTCTTTTCGCTTTTCGCCTATTGATTGTCAACTCAACGGCTCTTTTGAAACTCTTCACTTTAAAAAATGATTTTAAAAAACAGGGACCGAACTGTCGGGTGATCTGTGACACCGCACCCGAACGTCCTTGAAAATTCCATTCTTAAATTCAAAGTGATGTATTGAATTCCCGATTTCAAAACAATGGAAAAACGATTAATATTTTACGTAGTACACGATTGAATATTGTATTGTTCAAACCCGTATTCTTTTATAATTTTCATCATGTAAATTATTGAGAAGATCCTACACATATTGGAGATCAATAATGTGATGTAAGAAGTTGACTTGTTCTAAATAAATTAGGATGAGTACAAAAAGACATCTTTTGACAAAGATAAACAATAGGACCCATCTTTCCATTTTTGGGAGTATTGGTAGATATTTTGGACCCCAAAATAATTGGGATCAATGGGGAACCACCCCACATGATATTAGTACCTGCAAGACAAATAAAAATGGGTGAGAAGACTTACCTTGGCCGACCACCATGGAGAGGAGCTGCACAAGACTTGATAGGAATCAAATGTTGGGCCACCATCTCTATTTTTCGCACAAAATGGTGTGCTGTTTGTATCCACTCATTATGGGAGTTATACTCGACCAAACAACGTGTATAAGGTGTCCTTGGATAGCTTTTGAAGTCTATTTTTATAATTGAGTGGTCTCAGTTCGATAGGAGAGAGTAATCATCCAAAAATCGATCTGGAACGAGCAGTGGTCTGTGAACTCGAGCTGTGAGAGTGCTGAGACTGTTTGGTTTATATCTCGAGTTTTACCAATCCAATTAAGGCGTGTGAGATACCAAAAGCAAGCTCTCAAGACGAGGAATCCGTGAAGGTCTGGTTTGCATCAATCGGAGTATAGGAAGGCTTCCAAATCGTCCGAGCAGAACGCGACCTCGCAGGGACGGATTTACTCTTCTAAGTGAGTTTTTAATCCCAAAATCTTTCCATTCATTTTCCAAATGATATGAACGATTGGTGGGACTATTATACACTACTACAAGTGTATAAAACATCCCTATTAAGTTATTTTATTGATGTAAAGGTTAGATACTAACCTAGATGCAAATATTGGAAAACTAGGAATCGAGTTAGCCGGAAAACACCCGTTCTAGGGGCTGTTTTCGTATCAACGATTAGGGGTTGAAATAGCAACTTGAGGAGGCTGTTTAGCACCCATTTCTAAGCAAGGAATCGGTTCTCAAGCTTCCTTGGCCGAGGCTTTAGCCATTGGATCGAGAAGGAAGGTTTTAAAGCTCATTTGAGGTGAGGACCGACATCTAGTTGCTTACAACTTGTAGGTTAAGCATGAGATTACCTAAATGCCAAAATCATGTTTTCCATGGATTATGATGATAAATTATTGATGGAATATTGATCTATTTTCCAAAGAATGAAATGAGAAATGATTTGGTAAAGTATTGATAAAAATGGAGTTAAATGAACTATTGTGTGAAATAGTCACTTTACTCATGTGTGAATTGTGTGGATACATAAATGATTATTTATGTATTACATTGAATGATTAAGTTGCTGCTACATATCTCTAAATATGTAGGGTTTTACAAATGGAATATATGATGGATAAGAATAATCTTAATAGTATTGAAATACTAGTTAATGATTGTTGTAATTGTTAAGGGAATTGTGAATCTAAGGATTTGATTATAATTGATGTACTTGATTTTGATGCAAGTGACAAATTTGATGTAATGTGATGCTAAGATCATGGTTGGGCAGTCCGTAGGGATGTCCCAAAATAGATTATTGATATTACAATTCTAGGCATAGTGAGTGCTTAGGAATTGGGGTCTATGCCAATGTAAGGAGATGTACTTGAGCCCGTGCTCATAGAATTGCATTGGGTAGACATGATGGGGTGATTATTGTGCATGGTGATGTAGTTGAGTTGGACTCAAGAAATGCACGGTGGAGTAGTTAACTTGGGTTAAATAAGGTGCATGGTGATGTAGTCGAGTTGGACTCGAGAATGCAAATATATGTGTTAGGGTTGAACCCTATGTATTGTTGTGACTAGGGGTCACGGGATTTTGGGGTATGTTTGATGAACAAACCTTGGGCCTACGGGCCGACTACTTGACTTTATATATAAAGTAAGTATATTTTTAAAAAGGGGTAACTTGGGGTTACGGCCTATATTATACTATCACCCTATTTGAGGGTCTTGTGTTTGAAATACTTGTTGTATATCTATTAGATGCCATCCACACCAGCACTTTATAGCCCTATAGAGTGCTGACCCCTTCGGGGGCGTCCCACCACCATTTTTCAGGTTGAGGCTAGAGCTTGCTTCCTGTGCTCGTTGCTCGAGAGATCATCTAGGAGCGAAGACTTGGTTCGTGCTTCCTCCATTCGGATTTTAAACATTAATAAACATGCTCATGGATATTTTACTATAGAGCCTGCGTGCTCATGAATAGCCCGGTGTGGCCTTTTTGTTTTAAACAATATTTTCCGCTGCATTATGAATTACTTATTATGTTTGTTTATGGATGTTATATGTGTGAATGATATTCATGACGCCTTGTATAATATGAATGTGTTGGACTGCGGTTGACTATTCGTATTGTACGGCGGGTTGTTGACGTGTCCGGGTAGGTCCGGGGCGTGACAATTAAGTTGGTATCAGAGCCTTAGTCCATAAACTTCATAATGAAGTCTCAAAATTCTCTTTTTGAAAAGATTTTGAAAACCATGAGCATAGAAGTTTTGTACTTGGAGAGCTTTTGGTACTTGGGTTGCAAGGTCTCTAATTGTTAAGATGGTACCCTTAGCAATTGGTATGGCGGCG